TTTCCTTTTGACTCCACACCCTTAGTCAGTCGCAGACTCCTGCTGCTCTGCTAGCTGGCTGGGCTGAGGACACCTGTTTCCTATTTGTCCTTACCGTTGGAACCCTCTTGACTTCTGGGTTCCACTTTCCAACCTGTACTTTTAGAATTTAGATATGACTTCCTCTAATATCTCATATTACTGAGTATTTACCATGCACAGGCATCATACTTGTTACCTCCTTACATATTTACATACTATCTTTTTTTTTAAAGATTTATTTATTTATGCATACAAGAACTGGGGTACAGGCCAGAGGTGTGGAGGGTGGGAGGATCCACCAGAGACAGAGTGGGGAACAGAACAGGCAGACTGACTGAAATACACTGCTGAGGGGAGCAGCGGGCGAGACAGGAGAGGTCTGCTGTGCCATGTGAGTTGCTCCCTGGCTGGGGATCGAACTCCTGTTGCAGTGGCTGCGGATAGCTTCAGAGATTGTGTCTTAACCCCCTGCACTACAGGGAGGCCCTATATCTTACATATGCGTTTTGTCTGCACAAAGATCATAGATTGATGTTGGTAGCCGATTATGTCCATTTAGCAGATGAGGAAAACTGAGGTTCAAATAGGTTAAAAACTTACTAACCCAGTCCCTAATAGCCTGGAATAAAGCCATGCGGTGTGATGCTAACATCTACCTCCCAGGTTCCACACCCCGGGGTTTTCAGCTCAGTGCTGTCCAGATCCCTGGGACTCAGCTCCCACCGCCCCCTCTCCCCAACAGTGCTACACTGCCCTTGTCCACCCCAGGAGGCTGGCCAGTGCTGCGTTCTTCCCACCTTGACAGAGATCAGAATTGACTACCCTACTAGAAGGTCAAGGAAATTCCCATCTGCTTTCTGGGGTGGTCTAGTTTCAGCTAGACCTGAAAAAAATACTTTCTTGAGCTCCTGTTTTTTTAACTTGTCTCTGACTGGTGGTAGCTCTGAAGTTATTGTTTGAAATAAGTTTGGGAAAGAGCAAGAGGCAACTTCTGGACACTTAGTAGCCTCAAACACCTCTCATGCCCCAGCCGTGGGACCCCGCCTTTCCCAGATGCACCTGTCAGACTGAAAACCCAGAGCAGCACTAGCAACTGGTGAGAAGGGCGGCGAGCAGCTCCAAGCCAGCCATATATGGCTTCTGGCTTTTGACAATGAATAGTCCTGCTTCCTGTCGGTGGGTGACACTCAGCGGCCTCCCCCAGCACAATGCGAGGAAAGCTACAACAATCAAGCAAGAAATAAACACGCGCCCAGGTCTCCCCACACAGGCGCTCGGTGGATTGTGCTGTTTTATTTATATTGCTATGCAACGGAGGAAAAAAATAAAGGTGATTTCAGTGAAAGGCATGGGAATATGCTGTGCTATCTGATCGTAGTATCCGAATTTAGACATGACAGGCGTGGGGGTGGGGTGGGGTGGGGGTTTGGGGGGTTGTGTTAGCCATCCACCCTGATAACAGAAATTAATTTAGTGGGGTTCATGGCTGAGTTTTACTTTTGTTTTTAAAAATTCAATGGTGAATGTAGTTGTCGGCCCTGGGCCAGGAAGCCCTGTGCTGGCTCTGGCAGGACCCAGTTGGATGTTTATAAAATCAGGAGCACAGCTTAGGGAAACTTAAATCAAGTTGCCAGAAGGAGGTTGCAAATAGATTTGTCAAATTGTAGATCACAAAACACAGCCACCCCCGCCTCTGTGCCTGCCTGCTGGTGAGTTCCTGACAGAAAGGAAGTGCCGTCACCAAGGAGGACCTTGTACCTCAGAAGGGGAGGCCTCTGAGGGTGTGTGAGTATCACCCTGGAAGTCCCAGCTCAGGCCTATCCTTCCAGGAAAACTGCCCTCCTACCCCACCCCCACCCTCGGTCCCTTCCCCAAATTTTCCTCAACCCTCCAACCTGGAAAACACAACTTCAGACACTAGGGTGGGGCTTTTCTAGAATCAGGTTCTTTCAGCGACCCTGTCGGTCAATATCTAGATTTTATCCCAAACAACTGCTTTTTTCCTAAATCACTAGGCATCGGTTTCCGTGCGGCGCCTTCCCTTGGGGGGTGCAAGCACAGATGCTGCTGGAGGTGTGTCTGGGCCGCTGGTCCTCAGTCCCTACCCCAAGGAACAGGGAGGGAGGAAGGCCCGGTATTCCCCCCCCTGGGCTCAACCCCGGCCAGCAGAGAACAGATCAATAGGCAATGAGCGGAGAGAGAGGCTGAGCCCTCAGCTAAAGCTGATGATCCATTATCTGGGCCCAAGTCTCCAAGTGGCAGATTCATGTCTTCCTCCTCTAGGTATTTCCGTACGGACGCCTCCTCTGTGCTCTGTGGCACAGACATCAACACAACAGACAAAAGGCTTGTTCCCCATCTTCTGAGCTCCAGTGTGGGAAAAGCCACAAGCACAGTTGTGAAGATAATGTGCAGTTACCCCAAATGAAAACAAGCTGCCAGTTGCCAGGCAAACATCCACCCTTCCCTGCTGGGAAAGAGTGAGGATTTATTGAGTATTTCCTTTGTGCCTGGCACTTAATAATAAAACTCATAATTAACACTTCTGGAGAAACTGCAAGGTGCTAGGCTCACAGGAGGTGCAGGCAGACACTTTATTTCCTCTTACTGCTCTCCATAACGCTGTTGCTCCAATTGTGGAGATGAGAAGACAGAAGCCGAGGCTGGAGACTAACTCACTCAAGCCCCTGCTGTGGGCAGATGGGGTCACGCTCCTCCTGAGGGGGTGGCGCCACCCCTGCACCTTTGTCCACTTCCATGTGGCACAGACGGGATGCAGGTTAAGCGCCCCTTCCTCAGGAGACCCGTCCTGCCTCCTCACTCCTCACTGGTCCTTCGTCTGAACTCCTGGACTCACTCCCACATCTAAATGTTCATTCACCTCTAACCCTGTGCCTAACACAAGGGAGGGCCCAAACATTTCTTTCTTCCTCCTTCCCTTCCTCACTGTGTGAGCATCAGCGCACGAAACTGGTCACTGGATTGTCAACTGTCTTATTTTGTCTGCACTGGCCTTATTTCCACCAGAACATCAGCAGCTCAGGGAATAGCATTTTATATTTATAAACGACATATATAATCACTTTATAATTTACATATACATTTATGTTACATATATTTACAAGTTATAAGTTTATATTTCTGTATGGACACTCTCTTTCTAATACTTGTCTAAAAATTGTTAACCGCAGCAGGCCTCACACTTTATATCAGGATGACCTGGAGGACCTGGGAAAAGGTTGCTGGGTCCCTCCCGGGAGTTTCTGACTCAGAGAGGCCTGCGAAGGGGCTGAAGAGTGTGCGTTTGTGCCAAGTTCCCAGGAGATGCTCCTGCTGTTGGTCTAGAAGACACACTTCCAGAACCACTGTTTACTGAGTGAGCCAGCGTGCTCGGGACACTGTGTCCCACCCCTGTCGCTTACTAGCTGTGTGATGTTGGGCACGTTGGCTTATTTGAGTCTTTCCTTGTCTGTAAAAATGGGGATAATGATAGTGTGCTCAGCAGGACTGTCGTGGGGATTCAGTGCATAGTGGCTGTGATCTGCTTCGAGCTCTTTCTGACACACCAAGACACTCAATCAATGCTTCCCATTATCCTGGGAAGGCCGCACGACCTCAGGCACTAAATAAGCACTGAACTTGGCCTAAGAGTTCCTTCCCAGGCTGATACAAAACTTCTTTTGAATTTGTGAGCAGCGAGAGTGAAGGATGTCACTGAAGCATGACCTCTATAAACGACAGCTTTGGAAATGAAGCCAAACTACTAAAAAGCACAACACAAATGGCCTTTAGAAACCTCCTCCTTGTAGCATGATGGGTATAAAGGCCCAGGTGTACAAACACCATGTGTGTATTTTAAGTTTTGGGGTTGTCCTCCAGGTGCCTCCTTCACACCTACCCCAGCTGAAGGATGCGGGAGATGGTAACTTGGCTTCTGACAGCCTGGAAGTTGCTAGACTCACACAGGCATCTGGGCTAATGGGTTGGCAAACACCAGATGAGCCCGTCATTCAATAATTAATGAGTTGCAGTCATGGGAAGACACCCTCCCCAGTGCAGGAAAAGGAAAACCCCCCTCCATCTTAGTTGTTTCAAGGAACCCAAGGCACAGCTGCTCCCTCCCAGTTCTAAGAACCTGTTCTCTAAGCAAGATCTAGGTTCCCCCCGGGTCTACCTGAGCAGTTCTTCTAGCTGACATTCTCTTGATAAAGCCCAAGGGGGAGTGTGCAGAAAAGACAATTTTCAGACCTTGCTTCACAGCCCTGGAGGGCCGGAGGCAGGGTATGGGGAGATCTGGGGATGGTCTGGCCCCAACCTTGTCCCCAGGACATGGGAGCCAAGGGTCGTGGGAGCCAAGCCGCCTCCCCCAGCACCGCGCTCGCTCGCTGTCAGCTCAGCGACACCCTGCAAAGTTGAATGAGATCATCCCTGGGCGCATTCGCATTTAGCGCCAGGGACAGGGGGTGCTGCTGCTGTCCCTTGGCAGCCCCTTCCCCTCCCCGGGCTCAGAAGCGCACCCCCACCTCTCACCCATCACTCCTAGCACCCAGGCAGAGCGCGACCGACCCCCCAATAACATTCTCACGCCCACCCCCAATTTCCTGGGCGAAACCATCACAGCCAGCGCATCCTCCCCCTGGGGTTGGGCCCCGGCCCCGGCGGCCCCGGCGGGGCGTGAGCTGGGGGGCGTGAGCGCGGGTCGGGGTGCAGCCCGGGCGCGGGGGGCGGGCGGCCCCGCACCTGGAGCCGCCGCGGCGCGGTGACAGCCCAGGCAGAGCTGCCCGGCGCCTCCCCGCTTCTCCCGGCTCTCGCCGCTGCGCCTCGCCCCGGGCTCGCGCCCTCACGCCGGCCCCCTTTGTCCGCACCCCCTTCCCTCCGCCGGGATCGCGCGGGCCCCGGAGCGGCTGGGTCGGCGCCCCCCGACCCGGCCCGGCCCCGCCCGGCCCCCCGCGCCCGGCCCTCTCGGCTCCGGGTCTCACCCAGAAGAGCAGGTTGAAGCCGAGCAGCAGGTACTTGATGCACCGCAGGCCCCCGCGGAAGCGCCCCATGCTGCGGCCGCGGCGGGGTGCGAGTCCCAGGCCCGCGCTCGCGGCGCCGGGAGCGGTGGGAGCCGCGGAGGGGGCGGGGCCTGCGGGGGGCGGGGCCACTGGGCGGGGCCTGCGGTGAGCAGGGCCGGTTGTGGGCGGGACCTGATGGGCGGGTCCTTCGGGGGCGGGGCCACTGGGCGGGGCCTGCGGTGAGCGGGGCCTGCGGCGAGCAGAGCCAGTTGTGGGCGGGGCCTGTTGTGGGCGGGGCCCGCGGGGGCGGGGCCGCGGGCTGCAGCCGGAGCTGCGAGCGGGCGGTGGGCGTGGGCGCCGCGGGGCCGAGACCCGGGGCCCGAAGGTGCAGCTCCCCGCCCTCTCCCCGAGCCAGGTCGCTCCCGGCCCCCGCAGGGCGGCGCGGCCCGCAGGTGCCCCGCTCCGGGTGGCTTCGGAGCATCTGCGAGGAGGGAGTGTCCCCTGGGAACCCGAGGCCCATTTAATAAGCGCCTTGTGCTGAGCCTGCTGTGAGGACACGGCCCCGGTGGCCATGGAAACCGAGGAAGCCGACCTCGGGTGGAAGAGCTGATCAGGACCCGTGACCGCCTGGAGACTGGCGGGGGCGTCCGGCCCCTGCGGGTCCCCGCCCCTGCGAGCGCAGGCTGCAGAGGCCGCTTCTGGGGGACCCCCCCACCCTGCCCCTCCCGCGCGCCCGCGAGTCTTCTTACCTTAATAGGCAAGAGCTGGGAGAATGCGCGGGATGCGGCTGATCCCCTCCCTGCTCCGCCCGGCCAGGGAAGGGGGAGTCAGAGTCTCCAGCTCCTACTGAATTCGGTTGATGGGGGGCTTGGAAAGGCATCCAGATCCGCAGGACTGATGGAGCTGTAGAGATGGGAGTAAAAGGGACTGGCTTTATTTTGCTTTGTTTTATTAAGTTAGGCTGCTGGCGGGGAAATCAGGCTCCCACTCTAGTTGACTAAGTGTCTACAATATGTGGTGCCAGACACTATGGGGGCGACAACAAAGTGTAAAATCCAGGGAGCCTCTGCATTAATTCAGCAAAACTTCAAGTGCTTATTATAGGCCAGGCATAGTAGCAAGCCCCGGGGAGACAGCCAGGTCTGGCAGCGCCTTCTCTGCCAGTCTGCACGCAGAAAATTGTAGCAAGGTGAGGAGGCTGTTCCGAAAGGCCCACGCTCCCTGGATTGTGCAGGAAAAGCTTTGCCTGGGAGAGTGAGGCTGATCTATCTCCAAGGATGAATCTGGACAGAGAGGTGCGCAGCCCAGGCCTGGAGACCTCTCAGGGAACGACGATCTCTGTAATTAGCCCAAAAGGTACTAGGGCTCAGCTTCTAGTCAAATGATAAAGTGCAAGTGTCCTGGCTATGGTGTCCTATGGAGATAATAGTACCGACCCTACAGAGCTGTGGAGATGAGTGAGTTCATCTGTAAAGTGCCTAGGACAGTGTCTGGCACAGAGCACTATCTACCGTCAGCTGTTATTGTGCTGGACTCTATCAGTCTACCAGTAGGTTCTACCGTATTCCCAACTTGGCCTCCATTTGGGTCTTTGAACATTTATTTGAATAAGTAGTGAATTTTACTTATGAAAATGAGCAGAAGACTGAAAAATGAAAGTGCTGGTTCTGGTAATAAGCGTTTAGTTTTAACTAGTGAAATACGGAGAGAAGTCATTAGGTAGGCAGAAAGAGGAATCTCTTTAACTTCAGTCAAACATAAATTGTTCTCTGTCATCTCTGCTCTATTACGAAGGAAAAGAACTGAATTAAAAAGTAGTGTCTAGTATATGGTAAGCATTCAATAAATCTCAGAATTGAATGAACAATAATGATGTTATACTTTAAATATATTGTTGACATTATATTTTAAACATATTGCCAAATTTTATGTCTGTAAGACAAAATACATTTAGAGATTATGTCTGAGAAGAAAACCCCTTCTATACAGATGCCTTGTTCTTTCATGCTACCGTTTTAGCACGCATGTGTTAGACACAGATGTTGCCTACATAGAATTCAGATTTAGATTGTGAGTGCAGGTTCTTCACCCCATCTCCTCCACAAAGTTCTATCTTAGGAGAACTGACCCTTGACAGGAATAGGGCATCCTAACACATTTTTATTTATTTATTTATTTATTTATTTATTTATTTATTTATTTATATTTATCTATTTATTTATTTATTTATACAAGCACTGGGTACAGTCAGAAGCGCGGGAGGGTGAGAGAATTCACCAGAGCCAGAGTGGGGAGCAGAGCAGGCAGAAGGACTGAAGTACACTGCTGAGGGGAGCAGCGGGCGGCAGGAGAGGTCTGCGCGCCATGTGGGACCCTCCTCCGGTGGCTGGGGAGCAGCTGGGGATCGAACCGGCGCCGCAGAGGCCGAGGGCAGCTTCGCAACCCAGCACTCAACCGCTGGGCCACCAGGGAGGCCCTGATAACACATTTTTAAAGAGTACATTATCACATGAGAGTAGGGAATTGCATTCAGTGGCATAATAATGAATTAACCTTTAACTAGACATTATGCAAACCATCGAACAGAGATAAGACAGGGATTAGATGGTTAAATTTCTATTTTTACAATGCTCGAATTGGGGGCTACTGGGAGGATGATTGAAGTTAAGACTTGGGACTAATAAAGAAACTGTTATACTATTTCAGATAGCAAAGGAGAGTTGGAATCCACATAGTGACTGTGGGTATAAGAAGGAGGCTCAGATTTGAGAGATTCAAAGATGAGGAAAGATCAAGACAGACTGACTATGACAAAAAAACAGAAAAGGATGATCCTGGATTTCTTTTACGGGTGACTAGGTAGATCTTGGAACCGCGCACAGAGATCAGGACTATGATAGAAGGTAGAGGAGGTTTGGGAGAATGCTAAGGATGTTGTAGATGGGCTTACCCCTCGCCCAGCCCTCCACCCAGCCGAGAAGATAGGAATGGTAAGTCCTTGCTTCTGGTTTTCTGTGTAGTTAAGGGTGGCCATCTGGTATGGTTCTGATTAATGGGATTTATGTACAAGTTGGCTGGGAGGTTTCTGGAAAACATTGATAAAAGGTTCAATTGTGTCTGGAATTAGTCTTTCCCCCTTTTTCCTGTCTTGAACTCAGACACAATGCCTGGAACTATAGAACATTTTGTAACTATGAGGAAGGGAAGGCCAAGAGGACTGCAGACCTGCCAAATAAGAGACCGTGAGATCCCCGTACCAGCACCAGCCGCCTCGTCTAGATTTCTTGTTTGTAAGGAAAATAACCCTAGTTTTATTAGACTCTTACATCTCTGTTACTTATAGCTGATGCTGTTCCTAACCAACCTAGAAAGATAATATATTCACACTTGGATCTGCAAAGTTTTAGATCTGATGGGAAATCTAGATGGAGTGCCACAGGAGGTGGATGGAGATATGATTGGGATTCTGGAGGGAAATTTGGACTCTAAGTTTAGGTTAAAGATTCATTAGTAAATGATGATTATGGAAACCAATGATCATTAAACTTTTGTCCACACATTCCCTAAAAAGTTATGAAAAATTTTATTCTCTCTTGTGCATTTCCTCCATGTTTTATCATGAATATTTTCAAACATATAGAGGGTGAAATAACTGAGCAGTGGATACCATATACTCACCACCTAGACTCTACAGTAAACAGAGAGTTTGCTATACTTATATTACTTATCTCTACATCTGTCCACCTGTCACTTTATTGGATTTCCAAATTAATTTAGACATCAATACGTTTCCTCTCTGAGCTCTTTAGCATGTAGAACATTAACTAGAGGTCAAATATTTATGAATAGTTTTTCTTCCTTTTTTTGAGATAATATACAGCTCAAAGAAAAGGACACATTTTCAGTATACCATTTGATTATTTTTGACAAATGTTTTTGCCTTTTGAACGAAGCCTCTTAAAATGTAGAATATTAACCTCACCCTAGAATTAATGCTCCTACTACTCTTTGAGGCACGTATTTCACTATAGATTAATTTGGCCTATTCTATAATGTCCTCTACATGGAATTATGCAGTGTTTACCCTCACATATTTTAAAGTAACATATAAAATTCTGCATTATAAGTTTGAGTATTTGTAAAGGTGTCATTTCTGATGTATTTTAACTATTGACATTAAAAAATTGTCAAGTTCCAATATAGCTACACAATGGAATAGTATTCAGCTATTAAAAAGATGAAATTTGCCATTTGCCACAACACAGATGGAACTAGAGGGGATTATACTAAGTGACATAAGTCAGAAGGAGAAAGACAATTACCACATAATGAGATGATTTCACTCCTGTGGAATAGAGAGAAACAAAATAGAGGCACAGACGAAACTAAGCCAAAAGAAACCCTAGAAATCTGCCTGTAGAATTGAGGCTTTCAGAAGTAGAGATGGGAGTTGGGAGCAAGTCCAGTAGACTGGGTGAAAATTATTTTTGTGAGCTTACACCTGTAAATCATATACAGTGTTGTAAATCAATAATACTTCAGCACAAATAATACAAATAAAAAATAGTAATAAAGGGCCTCCCCTGTGGCGCAGCGGTGGAGTGCTGGGCTGCGAGGCTGCCCTCAGCCTCTGCAGCACTGGTTCGATCCCCAGCTGCCAGCGAGGGTTCCACATGGCGCGCAGACCTCTCCTGCCACACCCGCTGCTCCCCTCAGCAGTGTATTTCGGTCCTTCTGCCTGTTCTGCTCCCCGCTCTGGCTCTGGTGAATTCTCTCACCCTCCCGCGCTTCTGACTGTACCCAGTGCTTGTGTAAATAAATAAATAAATAAATCTTTAAAAAAATAAATAAATACAGTTAGAGAGACTTGGGAATACAGAATAGCTCTACAGAGATATCCGCCCTCAAATCAGAAACCCTTCAAAGTTCCCAAGAGGTAAGGACAGTTTTAGAAGTGAGCTAGAGAGAAGGCTAAAACTGGATTTCTAAAGAGAAATAATGAAGCATTAAATTAGGATAACAGAAATGGGAATTAAAAAAAACAATAAATGCAAGTGAAATTAAGAAGGTAATTTACATAAC